GCTTCCCTGGTGTGTTACCAAAACTAGTTGGCCAAAATATCTAATAAACCTGATGATGGTAAAATCGCTTCCCTGGTGTGTTACCAAAACTAGTTGGCCAAAATATCTAATAAACCTGATGATGGTAAAATCGCTTCCCTGGTGTGTTACCAAAACTAGTTGGCCAAAATATCTAATAAAGATTTTACCTTTCATTGTGCTAAAAAAATGTCTTGGTTTTCTACTTTTAATATAGTAGTGCAAAGTGCCTGAAAAGAAATTAGAAATGATTAGTCTGGACAAATCAAAGCTTTAAAGAAACAGAATATGTGTATATTTCAAATCACGTAAAACTGGTTTTTATAAAAAAAAACAAAGATGAAAAAATACAAGAAAAAACAAACAGTGTTTAAGAGATTTAGAATTTTCCTTTTGCACTTAAAAATTGAAATATTTTACAAGAGGGTTTAAATTTTACTGATAGACTTGCTAAATGAGATCCTGTAAATCCACTTTGAAAACGGATAAATCAGAACTTTCAGAAGGATTCCAAATGTAATACAATTAGAAATTGTCACGTTACTCTCCTAGTACTCACCTTTCCCGATTTTGGAATGACAGATCTCATTATCCTTGCCACATTAGCAATAGGTAGAAAACGATCCTACAATTTGAAAATTTTCAGAATTTTTAACCGAACCAATAAGTTTAGAAGAAAAGATGAGATGTTTAAGTTTATGTAGTTCTGTTTCATACAAGTTAATATTATCTCTGAAAAGACAACCAAGAAACAACTATCAACTGAACAATCACAACATTTGTGAACATATTTCATGTTAACTATTTCCGTATGAAGTTTGACTCACCTTGGTAGTTTGAAATACAAGTCTAAGTTTACTAGATGTATCTTCAGCAAATTTAACAAGCTTTTAGTAAACATTATAAGTCTGTCGTATACAAAAAAAATCAGGGTTTTTAATAAGATATATCTACTGAAAATGTCAGTGAATTTACTATGCCTTTAATGAGTCAGTTAGACAATTTTCATGTTAAGAATAAAAACGCTTACTTTCAACTTACAGTTTCATATTTTCATTTCCATAATACTCTAGAACGTCTTCAATGTATCAAGTTATTTCAGCTGCAGAATTACACATTTCATGTATCTTTTCTCCACTAACTGTAGTAAATTTCCCAATGTACAGTAAGATGAAAAGTTAAAAAATATTAAATAAAATGTATAATGCTTTCTTCTTCTTCTTTGAATGCATCATTTGTCACCAGATCATCAACTTATTATCTTCATAACTTCAACGGTTTCTCTTTTCACATCTGGTTTAATAATACTGTTTTTTTCCCAGACTTTATTCTGGAGAATCTGTTTATTACTCCGTGAAAACCAATAAAGAGCCCGTATCTATTCTCACACGCACACACACACAAATAAAGTAACCCATCAAGTTACACATAGTTTGAGCTCACCAGCTCGAGTTCCTAGGTTCATTAAAACTTAAGTTATTTTTTGTTACCTAAGAAGATTTTAATTCTTACATTTTTGTTACTTTTGTTAAAAAAGGTGTATAACAGTAAATAAAATATATACGTACAACAAGAAGGAAATACTTGTGAACTTTATGGGCCTTTAGCCTTGTCTATTCTACACATGTTGCTTGAACAAATACCAAAAATTACAGCCTTTTATAAAACAAAAGAATCACAAGATTATTAGGGATGTGCTGATTAATTGGTATATAAATGGTAATCGGCCTATCGGACACTTTGGTAATTAATTGATATTGATAGCCATTACTTACAATTAAATGTAAGAAATCCAATTTCATAAAACAAAACTTGATAAATATATTACAACTTAAAATAGGCATGGTGAATATTAAAATGTTAGATCTACTTTTGCTGTATACACTATACAGTAGAGATGATTTAACTTGTTTGGTGAATAAAAGTCAGTGGTTTCATTTTAAAACAATTTATTGAGACTTTGAGATACATGGTATATTATTTGTACAGTTTTAAGTACATTAGATCTAAAATAAATATGGCCTGATTGTGTTAATCAGTAAAATATTGAATCATGCAAAATCAAAGAGTAGATTAGAATTTTTGTTTGTTTGTTTGGGGAAGATCTCTGTATTAAAAAAAAAACTAAGAAGTATATTGGACAAAATAAGTCATTAAATTTTTCTACCTGTAAGCAACAGACTTTAATCCAATATTTATACCCATTGGCCAAAGGATTGCCATTTTTTGTTCGTCACCAGGTGAAAAACTTTTTACTTTATTAAAGTGGTTAATTTCATTTCATATTCTACAAAACCTTTATCTGTAATAACTTATAATTAAACAATTTATACTTCTGTGGTGTCCGGTACAAGTATCAACGTAAGCAGTTTATTTTCCTGTGGTGTCCGGTACTAGGACCAACGTAACCAGTATATTTTCCTGCGGTGTCCGGCACTAGGACTAACGTAACCAGTTTATTTTCCAGTGGTGTCCGGTACTAGGACCAACGTAACCAGTTTATTTTCCTGTGGTGTTCGGTACCAGGACCAACGTAACCAGTTTATTTTCCTGTGGTGTCCGGTACTAGGACCAACGTAACTGGTTTATTTTCCTGTGGTGTCCGGTACTAGGACCAACGTAACTGGTTTATTTTCCTTTGGTGTCCGGTACTAGGACCAACGTAACCGGTTTATTTTCCTGTGGTGTCCAGTACTTGGACCAACGTAACCGGTTTATTTTCCTGTGGTGTCCAGTACTAGGACCAACGTAACCAGTTTATTTTTCTGTGGTTTCTAGTACTAGGACTAACATAACCATTTCTATTCTGAATTAAGCTGCTTGCATTATCTTTAAGTAGTTAATGAAATATAGAAGTTAATGTCTAAATGTTATCGTTGTGCATACTGCAAAAACATTCATCAATCAAACTATCAAACACAGATTTTTTTGAACAACAGATAACTTTATCACTCCATCAATGGCTGCGTTACATGAATACTGTAATTACTATGGTTCGTGCACTGATATTAAGTTCAGAAAGCTGACATTACATGTTCAAACTCATTTCATTCACTGTGTGCTATCCAGGTATACCATGTGCAAGGTTTTAAATACCACCGAGGCAGAGCAGGCCAAACGTCTTATCTGACATTTTGCCCAGCATAACCTTAAGTCTGAGATGACCGAAAACTTGATGCAGTGCAAGTATAATAGAGGACAGTTTAAGATATGTCAATCGTGAAATTATTCTAAAGCTGTAGGACTTAACAGGCAATAGGAAATCAAAATTGGCTTTTTATACATGACACATACAATCATCCCCCAAATTAGGCATCCAAAAAGCTAATATCACATGTTACACAGATCTTCCTGTATTACCATAGAACTGATGTCATGTTATACAGATCTTCCTGTATTACCATAGAACTGATGTCATGTTATACAGATCTTCCTGTATTACCATAGAACTGATGTCATGTTATACAGATCTTCCTGTATTACCATAGAACTGATGTCATGTTATACAGATCTTCCTGTATTACCATAGAACTGATGTCATGTTATACAGATCTTCCTGTATTACCATAGAACTGATGTCACGTTATACAGATCTTCCTGTATTACCATAGAACTGATGTCACGTTATACAGATCTTCCTGTATTACCATAGAACTGATGTCACGTTATACAGATCTTCCTGTATTACCATAGAACTGATGTCATGTTATACAGATCTTCCTGTATTACCATAGAACTGATGTCATGTTATACAGATCTTCCTGTATTACCATAAACTTATACAACACAATTTTTCTGCAAGCCCACGAAATCAATATGATTCCCTATTATGTGATGTTGCAAAATACATCAGAATAGATCAGAAAGTAAGAAAAATATTGTGATGTTTCTTGTGCAATTTTTCATAACAAATAAAGGTTGCCAAGAGTACTGTTAACTTACTCCAAACAGTTCATCGACATTATCATCAAAACCTGACGCCAATAATTAAGAAAGGAGTCATCGTCTAAACCACCTTAAAATGACTTAATTTTATGTAGAGCTCTGAAGTCAATAGAGGACTCGGACAGCCACCCTACGCCATCTAATTTTAGACTCTAGTTATAGCCACAGTTAATGTACACATTTTTTTACAGTTGTTGTAACATCGAGGATATTGTATAGAAATCATTAGTGATGTTTTCCACTTACATGGATAGTACCTATACCCCGAAAACAATGGTATTATTATTGTTATTATTAGTATACAATGTTATGTTTTCTCAGTGTGCAATGACTAATTTTAATAAAATTTTTCTTAAATAGATATTATAATCACATGTCTCTCCAGTAAAGGCACAATACTATACACTTGTCTTTAATGTTAACTGTGTTTCAAATAAAGATTGTTTTACCATTACTATCTTACATCCATGTTAACATAACAATATTTTGGGACAACATGGGACCTACGGGTCCATCTCGGATGTTCCATCCTCAAAACTGACTTAAAATGATTTGAAGAAATAAAATAATTTAAAACTCAGTCCTTTTGATTCATATACTTATCAAGCTTTTTCTTAAACTCACTTAAGTTTACTGCATCTACAACATCTGAAGACAACCCATTCCAAAGGCCATCCTCCCTGTTAGTAAAACGAAACTGTCTTAGCTGAAGATGACTCCTACCCTGCTATAATTTATATTTGTGTCCCCTAGTCCTACTATTCTCACCGTTAAATATAAAAAAGATGATGCATCAACACTATCAATTCCCTTTGTAATCTTAAACACCACAATCAGATCCTCCCCATAACTCTTCTTTTTTCAAGAGAAAACAATTTGAGAGATTTCAGCCTCTTGTCATATCACAACCCCTCCATCCCAGGCACCATTATAGTAACCCTTCTCTGAACCCTTTCCAACAATTCAATGTCCTTCCTAAGGTGTACTAAAGATAGCAGTCAAACTGAGCCATATCAGATACTGTGATAATTACAATCAGAAGGTACAGAAGTAATCCAAGGTGATTGGCTTAAACTTTAACATAACAGACTTACCTGCTCTCTCATTGGTTCTCCATACTTTTCATCATCAGCAATACCTAAGCTATCTTCTCCATCAGGACCTACAGGACACATAAAATGGTACGTAAAGAAAAAAATTACATTTCAGAAAGGTGTGGTACAGAAATAATACCATATGCTGCACAAACATTTTCGATACAGTTCTCTCAAGTATTAAAGACCCACGGCAGTTAGTATAAAATATACACGTGTAACAAATAGTTAGTAACATACAAAACAATCATATCAAAACTATGCAACCTTACAAAGACAAATTATCTTATCGGGTTAGACACTTAGCAACAGAATCAATAAGTCAACAACGTTGGGAGTTATTCAGTGTGTATTACTGTTTCTATTTTACAAACACATAATTAAAATATTATTATTATTCCAACTGTAGATTTGGTCACAAATATACCTTGTTATAGGGGTCTCCAATTACATTTTGGTGAGAGCTGTTAATTCTAACGACCAGAAAACCAAGGACTCGGTAAGAGAGATATCATTGTATGGCTTTTGTTTTACTTCAAAAAAAAAATTATACTAATGTCACTTTATGAAAAAAATACAAGTAACTTGCTTATCACATATTCAGTCACTAAATACATGACAGAGCCACCAACAATGTTAAATGAATATCACATATTCAGTCACTAAATACAAGACAGATCCATCAACAATGTTAAATAAATATCACATATTCAGTCACTAAATACAAGACAGATCCATCAACAATGTTAAATAAATATCACATATTCAGTCACAAAATACAAGACAGATCCACGAACAATGTTAAATAAATATCACATATTCAGTCACTAAATACAAGACAGATCCACGAACAATGTTAAATAAATATCACGTATTCAGTCACTAAATACAAGACAGATCCACCAACAATGTTAAATATATATCACATATTCAGTCACTAAATACAAGACAGATCCACGAACAATATTAAATATATATCACATATTCAGTCACTAAATACAAAACAGATCCACGAACAATGTTAAATGAATATAACATATTCAGTCACTAAATACAAGACAGATCCACCAACAATGTTAAATAAATATCACGTATTCAGTCACTAAATACAAGACAGATCCATCAACAATGTTAAATAAACATCACATATTCAGTCACTAAATACAAGAAAGATCCACCAACAGTGTTAAATAAATATCACATATTCAGTCACTAAATACAAGACAGATCCACGAACAATGTTAAATAAATATCACATATTCAGTCACTAAATACAACTCTGCTGCCAAGCTAAAATCATGGACACACATGGTAAAATATTCAAATAACAACTTATAAGTTTAATAATATACACACATATATAATACACAAATGTTCAATGTTGTGATATTAGAACTTAATGTAAAGAAGGGACAGATCAGGATTTGAACCCATGATTCTCCTTACCAGAAAGTCTTTAGCCAACAATGCTTGTATCAGCCTATATGTCATTGTTTATTACTACAGAATGAGATTGTAAGTTACTTGTACAATAAATGGTTTTCACCTTCTGCATGAACTATATATGATCCACCTCCTGCCACGTACGAATCGTCTAGTGTCCCACCATTCTCGGCACATTCCATTTGCACTGAAGAGAACCTGTTTCACAGAAAACAGTTCATAACAAAACTAAGTTTTATTATTATCATCTCACCAAAGACCAAAAGTGAATTTTAACATATGGACAACAAGGAACCACCTGGTCCTTCAAGGTTGTCCTTGTACATCAATCCTTACAAAAAGTAAAAATTTACCAGCCTCCTATAGTTTTCAAGAACTCATCAATACCCCCTTTAAACTCCTGTAAAATGCTGGCCTCCACTACTGCCAATAAAGTTTATTCCATAAGTCCTGTTAGAAAAATAATTTATATTTCAACTGAGGCCTAACATGTTTCTCCAAATCTTAAAGTGTGTGTGTGTGCTCTCATCCCATTATCTTCAGAATATAGCACAAAGAAATTAGAAGCTTTTATCCCATGAATAATCTTGTAAACTTCAATAAGATTACCTCTCATCTTTCTTTTCTGAAGATAAAACAAGTTAACTTATGCAAAGAAATCTTAAGTTATAAGACAACTCTTCCATCCCAAGATTCATTCTGGTAACTTCCTCCTCTAAACCATTTCCAATAAATTATTATTCTTTAGTTAAAAGAGACAGTGAATATATACAAACAGAGGAAACTAGAATTTAAATAGATTTTGACTTACATTAGAAAACTATACACAAAACCCACATAATATTTTATTACACATTATAGAAGCACAGCAAAATGGACTATCTATATATTATTAGTTTTCTATTCAACTTCAAGTAAAACATTCGAAAAATCATCCAATTTAGAAGTTGTGAAATTAACCCTTTCTTGACCAAAAGTTTATAATCGCAATAACAAGGAAAATTGGAGAATTTTGTAAAATATCAAATTATATTTCTGATGTATTATTATACGACCTTCCTCACCATTTAACCTTGCTTTATTAATATTCACACATGCTACGCTCATAATATCCATATCATATTCAGAAACCGATAAAACGCAGGACAATTACGAACTAACAGTAACTAAGTAACAGTAGGCCTAGTAATAGTAATACCAAATAATTGACAGCTCAAGTGCTAGTACCAGTAGTAGCGCTATAAAACTTGTAACTTTAGTTACCTTGGGATGATAGATTATGTTCGAAGCCTTATTCACCATATTCTATTTTTTAAAATTATATAACATATGTCCGTGTTTATGTCTATTGTTTAATTTGTTGTCAAGTTGCACGACGCCTGGGTGATTTCCAATTGACTACTACTACTTAGAAAGTTCGATCCACAAACTGTAAAAAATGCCTTTTTTTTAACTTAAGGTTACTGCTACTAGTAAATATTTATTCGTCCTTCGAATCATTTGCACAGAAAATATCATTATATTCATTGGCCAAAGACTGATAAAACAACATACCTGAAATCACACAAAACTTGGTTGGTCAATATATGAACCAGTAAACAACGAGAAGATAAACGACCACTCACTTATCAAGTAAGATTCCATAATATATATATGAACCAATGGTAACAGCGTAAGTCAGACTTTCTCAAAGTGAGGTCCGCAAACCCCCAGAGGTTCGAGAGGATACTCCAGGAAGTTCGTGAGCCATGTGCGAAATTTCATAAAAGTGTTTAAAAAATATGATTCATAGAATAAGAAATATTTTTTCTTAAAATTAAATTTACATGAATTAAAACATTTAATTTTGGAATACAGCTTTTCATGCACACAGAATTTTTTTTTTTTTCCCAAAAACAAACACATAGATTGCTTTGTGGTTCGCGAAAAAATTAATTAAAAGGAGTCCTCGGGTTACTAAAGTTTGAGAATCCCTGGTGCAAGTTATTTATTACTTCCCATTTGTGACGAGTCATCTTTTTTTTTTATTGGACTCGTCAGGTAAAGAATTGGTATAATATTAAGTCGTCAAAAAATTAATGTCCCTTCTTTTTTGGATTATAAAAGCCGAACAACTTATATATCTAAACAAAACATTTATTAAATGAAATAGTC